AGGGATGTGCTGTGATTGACTCCCTTCAGAGCCAATGAGTGAGTGAAAGAGTGGTCCCCACACACAGCATTCCTAGGCGTGTGCGTTTGCTGTGTGCGACGCACGCTGCCTGTTATTATAATTATAGCAACGAGTCACGGCTCCAATTATTTAGAGCTAACATAGCACACACGCACTTTATCACAAAATACTTAAAAACTAAAGTTTATAATTATGCACTTGTAATCCCCTTTTGCCTGCCCAAATGCATTTAATTTTTTATATAGATATGCTGCGAGTTCAACAAACAATTGTCTAACATGAATTATAGATGTAATCAAAATTAAACGCATTAAATGTTTATAAATTCATATTTACATCACATTATATTATTTAAATTATAAAAATATCTGAGAATTTATCATGTATAAATTTTACTAATTATTATTCATCAAAAATATATTAACATTTTGTTATTTCTTTATATTTATAAAATGATTAATTTTATTTTTTTATTTGAAAAAACAAAAAAAAATTCATTTATATTTATTCATATGTTTTTAAGATAATAGAATAAATATTACAAAGTATTACAAACATATTCTTAATCATTTATACAAAACAAAAAAAAAATAGAGAAATAATTATTAATTTCTATTAACATTTAAATATTAATCAAATGCAAAAAAAGGATTATAATAATATATGTTTGATATATATATATATATATTACAGTTTTGTTTTAAAAACTTTTTTTTCAAAGAAAAAATTTTAAAAATGAAAAATGAAAAACATGTAACATTATTATGTTAAATAGGAAAATAGTAAATTTTTTTTAAGAAAAACTACAATATTTTACAGAATAATGTTTATAATGCTTCATAAAAAATTTATATAAATAGCACTAATAATTTTATAACAATTATTAATATTTATTTATATACCTAAATTTTTTTGCAAATTTTTTATCCAATCCTATTTGACCACAATTCTTAATACCTTCTAATATTTTAATATATTATATTTGATAATATGACAAAAAGAAGGGCAGAAAAATAGGAATAACATAACAAAATTTATAAAATAATTATAAAAATAATTACCTTCATAACTTCCCTGAATTTTCCAATTTCTCGGGTAATCAAGTCTCTTTTACTTTCTTCTATTTCTGCATCATCCAAGTTTAAAGATTTTGCAACCATTTTCGTTTGATGTTCTTCTATAACATATAAAATATTTATTACCATATATAATATATATAAAATATATTATATAGTTCCCTAATTTAATTAAATATATTGCTACCAACAGAATGAATACGCTACCAGGAGCAGTTTGAGCCATTTCTAGATCAGCAGCATGTTCAGCTATAATTTGATTAATACGTGCTAGTGCATCTGCATCCACTACTCTCATACCCTCATCCATGTAATCTTCACCTTCTTCTCCTTCTGTTCCTTCAATTGATGTTTCATCTTGTAAAGGTGACTGACCTCCTCTTAATTTTTTTCTTCTTTCCGCTGTAATGGAAAAAATAAAAAATCCAAAAACATATCCATATACATATATACAATAGTGCTTGCTTAAATTCATAATAAAATCATTTGAACTAAATTATAATAATTCAATTTCAATATTTTCTAATATAATTTGTGCTTCAAGTTCAATATAACTCAAATATATATGATAAAAATGAAAAAAAATATTTGAATGTATTTCTAAAAAAAAATTATTATCTGTTTTGTTTGAATTGTAATACGAATTCCAATTTATTAAAATTTCAGTGAGCACTACTGTATATCTACACAAATATTCTATTTACATATATATATATATATATATATGTAAATAAATTTACCTTTAAATTGATCCAAAACAACTTTAGCTTTTGCATCAACTTTGACAACAAGTTTCTTTGTACCTATTTCCATATCATGAAGTAATCTAACTGCTCTAAGACCTGCATCAGGACCTGCATATTCGCAAAATCCAAAAGCTTGAACTCTCTTCCATGAAAGAACATGACCACATGCACCCAGAATATGTCGAATCATTACATCAGGTGCTCTTTCCATAATGTTACCAATAAATACAGTAACTGGTGGACCAGATTCTCTTTCACGACGACGATTATTGTCATGACGGTTTTGGTTACGTGCATACCGCACAGCTGGAGCTGAGGTCTGCATCGCAGATACGGGTGTTGGAATCATCTATGTTTTATAAATGGTAGTATTCTTAATAATGCACATCTCTACTCATGCAGTCCAGAACCTCCCCTCCCCCTAATAGCATATTAATCTTTTTCTTTTTATTATTCTTTATTACAGAAGCAAAACATGCATATATTAAATAGAAAGAACTGAAGAAAAAAATTTCTGTGAAAAACATAAATTTAAAAAATAATCAATTCAATCCATTCAATTCTACAGCATAAATAGTTAATTAATATGCATTCTTTAACATTATAATTTAAATGCAAAATGTTATTATAATATACAAAATAATTGCATTAATATATAGAAAAATTTATAATTATGATATAAAGTTGAAAATATAAAGCTGTGTAATAATTTCTTTTATTTAACATATGTTATCATTTATTTGCACAACATTAACAAAATTAAATATTACATGCTTTTCAATTTTATTTTTTAATATAACTAAAGATATATATTCTATTTGTTAATAAAAATTTATAACATTTAAATACATTTTTATTGTTTATTTAAAAAACAAGTTAAATAAACAAGTTTAATATTATATATATATATATATAAATAAATTATAATATATTGACTTTTAATTACATTTAATCAAGTATTAAGAGATTAATATTTGAAAAATATATTATGTATATTTTTATTCTCTATAAAAATAAATAAAAATTTATATTTTCTAAATTATTTTATATTAAAATTTTAATTAAGAAAATAATTTTATTAACTTATCTCAAGTGCATAGAAAATATGTAACAGAAGATTATAAATTTATCAGTGCATAGAAGATATTTAACAGAAGATTAAAAATTTACCAATACCACGCAAAAACACGAAAAATATCATGCTTAGATAAAATTAATTTTATGTTGACTTACATGTGCCATAGGCATTACACCACCAATAATTGGTGGAGGTGCGCCAACCATGTAAGGCATTGGTGGCATGCCTGGTATTCCCATTGGAGGTTGACCAGGATAAGACATTTCTTATTTTAAATAATACTATGGCAGTGTCCTCACTAAAATATATAACACATTAATTTAATATCTGATTTAATATAAAAAAAAATATAAAAGATATATAATAATATGTATAATAAAAGATATATAATAATATATATAAATATAAAAGATAGTAAAGATTAATTTGATTTTGAATTTAATAAATTTTATTATTGAATTTAATAAATTATTATAATTTATACTTACAATTATAATAATTTAATTTATAAAATATAGATAATAAAATGATGAAGATAAAAATTTACTAAATGTGTTAGAAACCTAATATTTGTACTTGTATTAAATAGTTAAGAATATGTATATATTTTAATTATGTTATATTTACAAAATAAAAATATCATATAAAGTGTCTTAAAAATTATCGTTAAATAACCTTTAATATATAACAATATTTCTAAGTATTCTTGAAATACAATTAAATACAAACATTAATTCAACATTATATTAATTAATATTTCATAACGAATATTTGAACTATGTATAAATACATAAATATTATTCGATAAATTTATTATATAAAAACATACTTTTCATAATAATAATTATAGATACTAGACAAGACACTAATGGATGCTTTAGTATTCTAACCATTAAATAATCGTAATGAAAGACTAATTTCATACTTACATAATATATTTGAAAATAGAAATAAAACATCAACCATCGTTTAAAAAATATTTACGTCATTTTATTAGAACTTTAGAGATAAAGAAATATTACAATAAACACATAAATTGAAACTTCCACTTTCACAATCCGTCAGCTTGTAATCACTTCTTTTCGCCCATTACGGCTTCATGCGCTGATTGCTTCTAGAAGGCTATGGTTGATGGTACATTTCCCATGTGTTCAAAAACTCATCTTAAAAAATTGTATTATATATGTTTATTTTATTATACGTTTGTTTCATAATTTGTTAAATATTTATTATGTTATATTAATGCAAAATATATTAATATTAATATTAAATGATTTAAATTATATATATTATTTATTAATTATATTTTTTGTAAGAATACTTAATTTTAATTCAAATTTTCATGTATTTTGTTATTATATAAAGTATGTTATAAAAAGTATCATTACAATGTAATATAATAAATCTATGTTTACGTATATTAATGCCAGAGAAACCGGTTTATGTATCAAATTGCATTATAATTACATCAATCTTTTTATATAGCTTTTATATATAATATTATTTGAAAATTTATTAAATATTTATAATTGCAATTCTTTTTTTTTTATTATTTTTTAGTTATCTCAAATTTGGAATATAAAAAATAATTATAAAAATTTTACATCGTTATTCAATATTTAAATAAAAATCTTTGCATAAAACTAATATGGAATTAGTTAAAATATTTAATTCTTTATTCAGATAAAAATTTATGTAAATATTTGATTGATTATTTAACATTATTAATTATGAATAATTGTATTAGAAAAAAATATTCATTAAATGTGCATAAAATTTCATTATCATGTATATGTAAATCCATTTTTCTTTATATTTATGAAAATGAATTAAATATATCAGGAAATAATTAAAGAATTATTAATAAAATTATTAATAAAAATGATTATATAAAAATCCTGAAAATTTTTAACGTTTTTAATATAATTTTTAATACTTTCTATATTTAAAATCTTATAAATTTAAAACATAATTGTAAAATAAAATAGACTATTTTTAATTGTCATTTCTAAAATTTAAATATTTGGTCAAAATAATATGAATTTAAGGACGCCTTCTTTAGTTAATCGGTTTCCGTTAAACACCTTAGTTCATGAAATGGCAGTGTGGTGCATTCTTACGCTAGGTGAAATCTTTTCGAGCATTAAGTTTCAAAACACAAAAAAGAAATACTTTAAATTATCGAAGATTCCAATGTGCCAGATAATTAAAGAGATTGTGTGCAATGTCCTCTAATTTCTCTTCTGAGGTATACGAGCTAAAATGAAACTGTATTGGTGTTTTTCATTAATTATTTTAGTTGACAGTTGAACATGGAATCCTTAAAATTAGATTTTTATTCTTATTTAGAAGGATAGAAAATAATATTATTTTGAAAATAAATTAAATGAATTATATATGAACTTTTGAAAAAATATAATAAATAATAATATAGTAATTTTTATAGTAATATTTATGTAATTTATTAATAACCTTATAAGTATTTAAATAATATATATTTTCTGTTATATTAGTAACGATTATTGTATAATAACATAGAATGCACATTTCTATTTCTTATTTTTATATTTTAGTATTGATATTTCATTATTACATAGTAATGCATGTATTAAATTGTTATTTAATTAAAAAATAAATAAATTATAAATTTACGTTTATTATGAAAAATAAATTATTTGTTAGAATAGGATGTATTCAAATATTATTAATTTCAAAATATATGTTATTCTGATGTAATAGTTTAAAAATTTTCATATAATGCAGGTAATGAAATCTTTTCTATGGGTAAAATTTATAAAAAAATTATTTTTTTATATTTTTAATACATAAATATTTTTACATAATTAATGATTTGATACATATGTATATACATAAATTTATTTATATATATACATATACATAAATTTATTTATATATATATATATATTATTTATATATATTTATATATATATATACATTAATTTATATTTTAGATTTTTAATTATATTATATCTTTCTTTAATTATTATATTTATATTAAACATTTTTATTATTATATACATATAGATATAAAATTAATATAAATAGAAATGTAAAATATAATTTATTTTTTTTAAATTTAAATTTAATGTTTTAATAGGTAATGTTTTAATGTATATATAAAATAATTTTTAATTAATTATTTATATTTTATATACAGAAATACAAATGATATGATATATAATTAAATATCAAATGTTGAAAATATTTTTAATCTTTTTATTTATAAATTTCTTTTGAACTTACATATAAAATGTAATGAAATATATAGAAGAAAATTAATTTTATTTCATTTTAAAATATGTCTGAATGTGAAAATAATTTACAAAAAATATATAATCTTTTAGTTTTAATAAATTCAGTTAATATTTTAATCATATGTAATGTATAAATTAATGAATTTTTGAATTTTATGTAAATAACTACATAGTGATAATGGCACCAAGACGAGTTGAAGAAATACCTGTTAAAAGAGTAGCAGCATTAGGTTGCAAATTACCTGATCAATTACCAGCTGGAGAAATATTAATAGATATTACACAGAAGAAATGGAGATTAGGACACACAATAGGATATGGAGGATTTGGTGATATATATTTAGGTATTATTTATCATTATAATATTTTTTTTTTAAATAAAAATAATAATAATAATAATAAACAAAAAATATATTGTAATTATTTTTATAATATTAAAAGATAATATATTATTAAAATAATATAAAACTTACTTCAAATAAAAATACATAATGTATTTTGATTTTTGTTAAAATATATTTTTAAATATTATATACATAATATTATATATATAATATTATCATTATATTATAAATAATTAAGAATATATTATATATCTTTTACTATTAATTTTAAAATTCTATATTATAGCATCAAATAACATTAATGTTCCTGTTGAACAAGATGCAAAATATGTAATAAAAATTGAACCACATAATAATGGTCCATTATTTGTTGAAATGAATTTTTATATAAGAGCAGCTCGTAAGCATATGAGTAAGTAATTAAATTATATAATATATGTATAATATATTTTTAACTTATATTTTATATCTATATTTTTATTATAAATTTTAGTTGATAGCTGGTGTAAATCTCAAGGGAAAAGACGAATAGGTGTTCCAACATATGAAGGATCAGGTTCTCATATGTATCAAGGACAAAAATATAGATTTTTAGTGATTCCAAGATATGGCATTGATATTGGAAAATTATTTGTATCAAATGGAAGAAAATTACCAACCAAACTTGTTAACAGGCTAGCTGTTCAAATGGTATTTAATTATAAAATTAATGAATTTACAAATTGAATTAAAAAATATTCTATAATTCATAATTTTTAAAATTTGTCACATCTATAGTTGGATGCCCTTGAATATATTCATAGTCAAGGATATGCTCATGCAGATGTTAAGGGATCAAATATTTTGCTAAGTGAAGAAGATGGTACTACAAGAAAATCTCAAGTTTATTTAGTTGATTATGGTTTGGCATATCGTTTTCGTACAAATGCAGGTATACATAAGCCATTTGTTCATGATGAAAGAAGAGCCCATGAAGGAACATTAGAATTCACATCAAGAGATGCACATCATGGAAGTAAGTTTCTTGTGAATATATATATATATATATATATTTTTTTTTTTTTTTTTAAATCATTGTGTTTGATGATAAATTAATATTATTATTATTAGCTCATTCAAGAAGAGGAGATTTAGAAACATTAGGTTATAACATATTACAATGGTTGTGTGGTAAATTACCTTGGGAAAGAGAAAATGATAATGCAACATCAATAATAAATCCAGAAGAAGTTCATACACAGAAAGAAATTTTACTTTCAAATTTACCATTATTTATGCATAAATGTTTTCCTTATAAAAAGGAACCTCCTGGTAAGTTATTAAATTATTTATTAAATATACTATAATAATATTTTTAAATTTAATTTTATTTAAGCACAAAAAAATAATGTATATTTATTTTATTATCTTAAATAAAATTCTATTTTAGAAATATTAATAATTTATAAATTAAAGAATGATTTTAAATTAAGTATTAATAATTAATATTTTTTATTAGCTGCCATTATGGAATATATGAAATATATTACCGAATTGGGATTTGAAACTAAACCTAATTATTCCTATCTACGTAGTTTATTTCAGTCTGGTTCTAGGCAAAAAACTGATGTTCCTACATGTTTACATAATATAAGAGAATCTAACGAAAATATTTCTTATCCCATATCTTTCAAACGACCATACTTACGAGAAAGAAAACCTTGCAGACCTGTTAATGGCGAGGTATTTTATTACTATACTCTAATATTAAATTTTATTTCATTATGATAATAAATATTATTTTTAGATACGTGTGACGCGAAATACACAACCGAAATATCCAGTTGAACAAAAAGAATTTTGTTGGGAAGCTGTATTGGCACTTCATCCTGATAAACTTGCAAAAATTAGTATTCAAACTCCACCTTCACCACTTACACCACCTCCATCTCCACCTCCTCCATCCTTGCCTACATATGCCATGTTAAGAGTAATTGAAAGAATGAAAGAGAAACAATCAGGTGCATTTCGACACAAATCATTACCAAAATCTCTAGAGTAAATATCAATTTAATTTATTAATTATTTGATATTTTAATATATTAAATATAATAAAAATATAATATAACAATTATATATTTTTTAAAACAGTGAACTCAAAACAAAATGGATGACACCAGCCATGGAACAAGTAGTTGAATTAAAAAAGAAAACTTCTTTAACAGCGCTTTCTTTACGTAAATCTTCACCATGTATGACACGATCCCGTGGAGCTCAATTAAAACGTAAGTTTTTATGTATTTTTTTATAAATTATGTAATTGATTATTTTTTTATAAATATATATGAAGTGTGTTAATTGTAATCTTTTAATTTAATTACATATCTGTTAGGACTTGGAAATGAAAAATCTTATAAACGAATACAAAGCAAGAAAAGAAGAAAATGTACATCAACAGAAGTATGATAAATTTCTTTAAATATCACATGTCTTCATTCCTTGGACAATGGAATCATTAACAAATTATCTAAATAATGGATATATAATTAAGTATTATTTCATATTAGTTTATTTAGATTTTGTAAGAATATACTCTTCATTAAACTCCTGTTTAAAGGACAAAATTTCATTTATTAGGAATGCCTCGGATGTATTTAGTACTACATCAACTTTTGTAAGACTGCTTCATTATCATGATTTGTTCTTTAATAAGCCTTTAATATAAGATCTTTTTAACAACTATATAGCGAACAAAGATTTATAAATAATTCAGCTCATAATTAGATGAGTTATTTTCTTTTAAAATGTAATTTCAATATAATTGAAAGATTATTAAATAGATGCAGTAATGAAACATCACTATTTCTAAGTAGTAGAAATATTACATATTTTGTACATATAGACAAAATATGTAATGTTTAATTTCATGATAGATTAATGATCTGAATATTAATTTAAAATTGTTTTAATTCATTTGTTTATTTTATAAAATAGCTCAAAAAAGCACAATATGCTCTTCATAAATAATGTTAAAATTTCATTAAATTTCTTTATTAAAATAATTTGTAATTTTTAAAATATTTAAATTATATTCATCTTTTTTTATATATTATTATATATTATAATTATTATAATTATATTATATAATATAATATAATTATATATAATATATAATTATAAATTATTTTACAAATCTCATTAATATTTCTTAAAACTATGAATAAAATATTTTGTTCCTTTATTAATATAATATTTTAATTTTATGAATATAGTCATTTCTAAATCTCATAAAAAAATATAGACTTTGATGTATTAATCAAAATTAAATAATTTTCTTAAAATACCAAAATATATATTCAAACAGAATAGAATTTCTAAATATTGTCTATAATATAAATAAAATTGTAGTATACTTCAATATATTGCAAAAAATTGTGAAATATAAGTAAAAATAACTGTGAACTGTTATTAGTTCAACAGACCAGTATTGAGCCTTTAAGTGCTTATATATGATTAAAATATAACAGTTTATGTTTGTTACTTTATAATCTAATGACAAGAAGTGTGTGCAGCATAAAAAAGCGACTAATATTTTAATTTAGTTTTAGATTTTATATATGACATGTAGCTAAAAAATACAATCTTATGTTTCTAACATTTTGCAATACATCAACATATAATATTATCTCGTGTCGTTTTAATCTAATTTGTATTGATTCAGATTTAATATTTACATAACACTTGTATATATTTATTGTAAGAGACATGTATAGATGGAAGCGAGAATTTATTTACAGTAAATTTGTGATAATTAATTTGTATTTTTTTAAGTTACATGTACCTGTGCCAGAAAAGCAGTGTTGTTAAAGACTTAAAAATGTATTGTAATGAAAAATATACATATGCATTTGTAATCTTTTCTATGTTAGATTTCATCATATATTCTGGTTTATCATATATCATGAATCTACGATATGAGCTTTTTATGTTTATTAATATTTTTCTAATTTAATTATAGAATATGTAATTAAATATTTATTATATTAAGCAAACAATACATAAATATTTATTAACAGCACTGCACAAGATTTTTAAAGTATTGTCAACAAAATTATTAGAAAAAGAATATAATAAAATTTATTTGCTAGGTTGTATCACATTATAATCAAATGACTATTAATAATGTAAGTGAATAATAAATAAATGATAAAAATAAAACATATAAATCAGGTATAGAATTTAATTGTATGAATATATTATCGTACACATTTTATATATTATTGTATATTTGAAGAAATATAAAACATAATATACATATAATAAATAACTTATTTGCATTTATATTTTACCTAATAATAAAATAAAAAATTAATTTTTTAATCTAATATTATATTTTTACTATAAAAAATTTGCATAATTGATTATATTTAATAAAAAGAGATTATTATATATTTTTTCAACAACATTATATATTTTTTCATTATAAAATTTATTTTTTAAATTATATTCAAATTAATTTATTTTAAAAAATTAAAATATAGAATAAAAAAAATTTATATTTTACAAAGAATTAACATTATTCAATAAAAACAAGATTATTAAAACTAATATTTTATTTTAAATATTACTAGCGCCACAAAGAAATGAATATTTAATACAGTATGACTATAGATGACTAGTAAATAGTATGATCACACCCATTGTGTAAATGTAATGTTCATTTATTATAAAAATTCGTAAAAATTTTCAATAATAATAAAAATGATAAATGATCAAAAACAATATTATTTTACTTTAATAATTAGAATAGAAAGTTTAGTGCACAATTAACCTCATTTATTCATTTTTTATAATGATGTCACCAGTCATTTATTGATTCAAATTTAAATTATTTTGAAAGAATGTTACATTAATAAATGTTTGTACTTACAATTGGCATAAATAAAAACTAAATTGTGAAAACTGTAATATAAAACATTACATAATAATGATAATATTATCTCTGCTTTTTTATTTTTGTAATTATGTACTTAGTCAAAAATACGAGGGTTGTTTTCAAAGTTCGGCATTAGATCCTGATTTACCAACTCTAATATTAAATCATACTAACTCACCATCAAAATGTATTAAAGAATGTATTTCACGTTATTATATGTAAGTTATTTTAATGTTATAATTATTATAAATTGTTATAAATATTATAAAATGTTATATATAAATTGTTATAAATATTATAAATGTTATATATTTTTAATTAAAATTTAATATTTAATATTTAAAATTTAATTCGAATAAAAATTATTATTAATAGGTTTGCTGGATTAATGAATGGTCAACAATGTTTTTGCGGTAGTAAATATGGTAGAAAAGGTATATCTACCTCCTGTATTCTTTGTATTACTGATCCAAATAATTATTGTGGTAATAAATATGCAATAAGTATTTATTCAACTGGACAAATAGGTATTTATTAAAATATATTTTTTAAAAATTTGATATATTTATATTGTATTTTAATATATATATATATATATATATATCTCATATATATATATATATATGTATATATATATCTCAAGTAATTATCTTAAAATTTAAAAATAATTTAGGTCCTAGTCCACCAAGAAGTGCTCAAATAATTCACAATGGATTTAATAATTTACAAATTACTTGGGAACCACCTGATATTAGCAATGGAAATATTACATATTATACTTTAAAAGCAATGGTTGTACAAACATTTGCTTCAAATTCAATACCAGCTGTAGAAAGTCAAATTCAAGGAGCTTCAAATAGTACTATTTTACAAGGTTTACAACCAGGCACACAGTATAATATATCAATTACTGCAACAAATACTCAAACAGATAGCGAATCTGTATATATTTTGGGATGGACTTTAATAGGTCCACCTAATAAACCAATAATGCCAAAAGTAATAGAACAAACAAGTACTACTGTAACTGTTTTATTATCAGAAGGAAGTAGTGAATTTGGTCCAGTTAGTGCTTATCAAGTATTTGTTTGCCAATTTGGTATAATACCTCCATCAGATCCTAATGTAACTTACTATAATTATAAAATATCAATGGAAGAAGGTTTAGGATATTATATTACAGGAGAATTTGAATCTTCAGAATTTTATAAATATAAAAAATTTATAGTAGGAGATGGAAAAATGATTGGCACATATTATAATGCACCATTAAATACTGATATAATGCCACAAATAGGTTTAATAGTAGTTTCTAAATTTCAAAGACAAATACAGTATGCTTATTCAAATTTAGTCAATAAAATAATTAATCATAATGAGAATCAAAATGATAATATGAATTCAATAACAATTATACTTTGCATTGCAATTGGTCTTTTAGGAACATTACTTATAGCTTCAATAATACTCTATTTTATATTACGACAACGCCATGGAAAAATTCAGATGAGAAAACTTTCAGAACAACAAGAACTTACATTACAAGGCCCATTATATGAAGTTGACAATTTAGCATATATTCCAGAAGATGTTCCTGAAAGGATAAATCATTATCAAGAATTAAAGAAAAAAGTGTGGATTATACCACAAAATTTATTGACAATCAATGATACAGTAATACGTAGAGGTCGATTTGGTACAGTACATACAGGTGCTATTGAAGAAAATGGCAAATTTTCTACTGTAGCAATTCATAGCATAGCTGATAAATTATTAAAAGCATCTGACAAAAGACATATGTTACGAGAATTAGATGTTTGTATTAAAGTATCTCCTATGAAATATCTTGCAGATCTTGTAGGAACATGTGAAACACATGATACATTGCATATTGTACTTGAATTACCACCACAAACCTTAAAAAATTGTCTATTAGCTGCCAGATCTGGAAATATATTTCCTGTTGAAAAAATTTTATCTATAGGATCTATGATAGCATCTGCTTTGCAGCATCTTGAAAATTATAAAATTATACATGAATATCTTTGTGCACGTAGTATAGGTCTTTCAAATGAATGGATACCTAAAGTAATGGGTCATGGAATATCCAAATATGCTTTAGAAGATATGAAATATATTCGATGGACTTCTATTGAATGTCTTGATAATAAAAAAAAACATCAACCAGCAGTAGTTTGGGCTTTTGGTGTACTTTTATGGGAAATGCTTAGTATGGGTGGTACACCATATTCTAACTTGTCACTTGATAGTGAAGTAGAAGAAGCAATTGTACAAGGAATTAGACTGCCACAATTATCAGATGTTCCTGATCCACTTTATGAAGTTATATCATCTTGTTGGAACACTGAAAGTCATGAAAGACCAACATTTACAGAATTAATAAGATTAGTAAGTATTATGTTTTGTTTTAAATACATAAAATACAAAAAAATAAAATATTTTTTATTTCTTATTTTGATTATTTTATTTTGCATTTTCAGGAAACCTTAAGTATTTGTCCAATCACTGCAATTACAGAACCATATATTCCAGAATTAGAATTAAATTAATTTCTTTCATAAACAAATTTTAATATTTTTTTATTTACATGATATTATGTTGTACATAACAATCTTGTTGAATATTTTCAAAAATTTATTTTTATGTATTCTATAGTTACCATTGTATGTAATTTATATACATAATGTTTTATATTTTCTTTTATAATATTTTTTACACTATATTTTTATTTTTTACTTTTATACTTTTTTTAGTCAAATCAAAGTATTATATAAATATTATTGATAAATTTTTCCGTCCATATTTTTAAGACAAAATTGACAAAATTTATACTTTTTATCAAACATATATTTGTACTTAAAAAAACAAATATAGTATAACAAAATATTTTTAAATATCTTATATCTTTAAATTTAAAAATAATGATAAAGATTAAATAATTTTGCAATAATTAAAAAAATATAAAAAAAAAATATATTATTATTCACATATCAAGTGTACATATCTTAAAAAATAATAATTAAATTTACATATATATG